AAATAGGTCATTAGGACTCATTTGATTGTTTTTTGCAAGTAAATGTACTTATATGACACTTTATTGGGTACATGGCCTTATGTGACTACTTCAGAATAGTAGAAGGCCTTATTTGACCCTTTTCTCTTTATTTATTGATTTTTCATTGGCTATCTCTTATGCCACGTATGCACCTTAACATTTTAGCATTGAAGATGCTCTAACCATATCAGTTGTACAAGAATAGTTGAGAGGTACTCACATGGTAACTAATTTCATTGCTTTAAGGAGAGAAGAAACACTATTTGTGGATAAATTAGTGATAGGTTAGTTTGGGGGCTACCCAGAGAATAATCAGACCACTTGATACACTTTCAAAATCAATAGTGGCAGTAGATTGGTTTGTTAAAAGAGTTATCTCATTTAATCCCTTAGCGATTAAAATAGTGGGTATTATACTATTATCCATGTTATATTATAGAGGATTCTTTATGTTCCTTCTCGATATCAATTATAACCATTCTCATCTTGATTTATCCTTTCATTTTTATTACATTCTATTTTCGGATCATGAAGTTTTACTATTTGAAACATAAAACCAATTTGGAGTATGAATCAAATAAATTAATCAATATACCGTCAAAAACAACTAACCTTTACGATTCAATTTGACATGTTATTGTTTTTTTATTGAGGATTGTGCTCTTACGGAAAATTAAGAGTTAAAAATTATATATAGATCATTCATCTGGATTGTGCAATCACACTCGACTTTTGGTGAATTAATTTGGAGATCATATTATTGAGGGAAGATGATGCACAAGAAAAATGCTGGTGGAAAGTTTTTATCATATCCTCAACTTACATTAATGCCACGAGACATTAGTATTTCATTCACTTTTCAGCGCAAACAATTATCATTAAGGGTGAACTATGCAATGACCAATAATAAGGAAAAGGTTGACATCTTCCTTCATCTTTCTGAATTAAAGTTTGTGATATGTGACCAAGACAGATAACCAACTAAGCCTGCGTTGAACATTGTATATAAAAAAAGATCATAGTAATTTGTTGTTTTCTTTCACAGTTTCATGGACACACATACACAATTATTTTATCATATGATGGATTGTATTCATCTTCACGCATTATTTTTTAATTTCCTATGAAATATGGCTTCTTATTTTATTTGATTTATTTGGTTGGTTGATTCACTATCAAGTTTTTTTTACTTTAATCCATCTAAACTTTTATGTACAAACTTTATTTCCTTGCAACACACGGGTAAAGTAACTATATTATGACAATTCTGTTGACAAACATGCAATCCTATTTACCATATTGTGATATTTAATTTTGAGCATTATTTTTTTATTTCATATTAAACATGACTTCTTATTTTAACTTATGTTATCAATTCAGGACTCGAAAGATAGACGAATTATCAATCCGGGACCTAAAAGATGAAATGCTTCGATATAGGATCCGAATGATGAAAAACTATCAATTTAGAACCTGAATGATTGAAAACTACTCCCTCCGTCCCGTTCATTTCTTCCAACTTTCCTTTTTGGGCCGTCCCAATTAATTCTTCCAACTTTCACTTTTGAAAAAAATATGTGGTTCACATTCATTCACTTTTTTCTTACACAACTACAACCATACATTTCTACTTTATTCTCACTTTCTAAATTTGCGAGCCAAGTCAAACTTGGAAGAAATGACCGGGACGGAGGGAGTATTAATCTTGGACCTAAGTTGTCATAAATTTTTTTATTTTAAAAATTTTAAATATTATTTAGTTTTATTAAACTAATAAACTTTTGTGAAGAAAAGTTTATCAAAAATTAGCAATGGAATTAATAAAAAATTAAATAAACCAAAACCTATGAAACGTTAGGTCCTAATTTGACAGTTTTCTATCATTCGGATCCTATACCGATACGTTTCATCTTTCGGGTCCTGAATTGATAATTCATTTATCTTTCGGATCCTGAATTAATAAAATTCTTTAATTGATTCACTATCAACTTTTTTCTTACTTCTTACATAGTTCATCTAAATTCCTATGTAATTACTTCACTCCCGGGTGTAGTAACTAGTATCATCACAAAAGCGCCTCAAGCAATATTTTTTAAGAAAAATTGAAATATTGTGGGGGAGGATGTGATCCGGTCGACTAAGGAGTTCTTTAACTCGGGAAGGTTGCTTAAACAGTTAAATCATACTGTTATAGCACTTATTCCTAAAACTAGTCACTCCCCTAAGGTCTCGGATTATAGGCCTATTTCATGTACTAATGTGCTTTACAAGATTATTACAAAAATTATTGCGGCAAGAATGATCCCGACCCTTGCGGGTTTGATTAACAAGGCACAAGGTGCATTTGTGGATGGCCGCCTAATGTTTGATAACATTTTCCTTGCCCAGGAACTTGTTAGAGGATACAATAGGAACAAATTTCACCTCGTTGTATGATAATGGTGGATTTGCGAAAGGCCTATGATACTATCTCGTGGGACTTTCTTGCCAATGTACTTAGGGGTTTGGGCTACCCCGATAGATTTGTGGGATGGATTATGGAGTGTGTTTCTACCGCTTCTTTTTCTGTCTCTTTGAATGGTACATTACATGGTTTCTTTAATGGTAAGCGTGGCATTAGGCAAGGGGATCCAATGTCCCCTTTGCTCTTCGTTGTATGCCTTGAATATTTCTCGCGCCTCCTTACCATCAAAAGCATGGATTCGAGGTTTAATCACCACCCGCTATGTGGCTCGTTGGGAATAACTCACCTGGCCTATGCGGATGATCTCATGCTCTTCTCGAGAGGAGACAAATATTCCATTGGAGTATTGGTCGATGCTCTTAAAGAGTTTGGAGAAGTCTCAGGCCTTAGGGTTAACCATAATAAATCCAATATTTTCGTGGGAGGGGTTAATGGGCTGGACTTACAAAACATATTGGACCTCGTTGATTATGGTCGTGGAGTATTCCCGGTGAGATACCTTGGAATCCCACTAGCACCGCTAAGAATCTCCGTGGCACAATATGCCCCCCTTCTTGATACGATAAACGATTTTCTAAACGCATGGAACACAAAGACGATCTCCTATGCCGGTAAACTAGAGCTAATACGATCTGTGATCCAAGGGGTCCAGTCGTTTTGGCTCCAAGTTTTCCCGATTCCCCAAACTATTTTGGATAGGATAGTATCGATTTGTCGAATATTCTTATGGGGTGGTAAGTTTTCGAAAGTAGCTTGGGAAGACATTTGTCTCCCAAAAGAGGAAGGAGGACTTGGCATTCATAATGCTAAGGTATGGAATCACGCCCTCCTCTCTCGTACTTTATGGGATGTCCATATGAAGAAGGACACCCTTTGGGTCAAATGGGTGAACGGTGTATACCTTCAAGGTAGAATCGTGTGGGATTTTATCCCACACACCCGGGACTCACAGCTCATGAAGCGGTTGAGTCTCATCCGTGATAAGATCCGAGGGTGCTTCAATAATCTCAATGACACTATCATGGGCCTTGTCTCGAGAGCCTTGAATGGTAAATTAGCCTCCGCAAAAGTTTACGATCTCCTAAGGGTCAAGGGAGAAGCTAGGACTCCTATGAGTTTCATATGGAAATCCTACATTCCCCCCAAACTCTCATTTAATGCATGGCTGGCCCTAAGAAACCGACTACCTACACAAGATAGCCTCGGGTATCTTTATATCGTGAACCGGTGTGATCTATGTAAGGGTGGTTTGGAAACAATACCACACCTTTTCTTTCTTTGCCCCTTTACTTGTAGGGTGTGGCATCACGTAAGGAGCTGGATGGGACTAAGACATGAGATGTCTACCTTGCTGAGTTCAATCAAATGGATCAAGAAGACCCATAAAGGATCAACGTTGAAGGCCAAAGCAGCCCGCATTGCTTTCTGTGCAACGCTGTACTACATTTGGCATGCTAGGAATGAGTGCAGATTTGATGGAAAGATGAAGAAGGAGGAAGAGGTTGTTGCTAAGGTCAAACATGTGGTGTATAAGATACTCTACAACATATACCCACATGAGTTGATCACATTTTGATAAGAACGATGAAAGCCGTTTGTATAGCCTCGGTTTTGATAGGCTAAGTGTGTGCACTAAGGCGCAGTCCTATTTTGTTTCTTTTTGATTTCCTATGCCGCGGCATAGGTGAGCCTTATGGCTATCTTTGGTGATGTCCGTTTTGAAGTGAAAGCTTCTTCCAACCCTCTCCTATCATAGTAGGGGGTGGGGGTGCTTTAAATTTTGTAAACTTTACTTTGGGTAATAATATATTTACATTTTATCCAAAAAAAAAAGCGCCTCAAGCAGTTAAGCCATTAAACAAGCTTAATAAACACATTGATAAGTTATATAATGAACTGTTAATAGTAATTTTAAATAATTAGAAGCATAACCACTGATCGGTCTCGATCAAATCAGAAGTGATTGACCACACTTAGTTCCTAGTAGTGCAACTAGATGCAAAGTGATTTTTCTTATGAGTTTATCATTTTACTTTAGACGTTTGAGAGGCATCTTAGGCCTTAAATCCCCCACTTATTCCCACCTTAGTTGTACCCAAATATAAATACACACAATATCTATAGATAGATAGGCATCTTACCATCTTGTCTTTTCATCGCACTTGATTATGACCAAGATCATCGATTGTTGGGCAACTGCATGAACCCTATGCCATAGAATACTCCGTATTGAGAAATTCTATTTCTTCTCTAAATTCCACAAATATAAACATTGAGAATCTTGAATTATATTCCATCCTGTCTTATTGATAATATTTTCTCAAACCTTATTAATAATTTAATACCAACTAAACGAACCGAACCAAGACCAAACAAAAAATGCCTATACCAACCATTAGAATTACTTTTCCCCACGTAGAGATCTACATTATTTGAGCATCAAAAGATTCAAGTGCCTAATTTTCACAAATAAAAATTCACATTGAATGCAATCCACATTGCCACCAAGGTTTCCGGTCCCTATATATACATCAGCATTGAAAATTTGAAACAATCACACAACCATAAAAAGAAGCTTGTCCTTTCTCTTTACTCGAACGAAATGGCAATGGTGAGAGAGAGGTGTGCCTGGTGTGGACTACAGATGCAAGTTCCTATCCAGGCACAGAGCGTGGTTTGCCCCGGCTGCAGAACTGTCATTGTGCTGCGGCAGAGAAACGCCCCCATGAGATACGACTACAACCCTTATCAGATGATGCAACCATCATCATATGTACCTGCAGCTCAGAGTAGGAGACGTGCCGTTCTGTGTGGTGTCACCTATCGAGGCCACAAGAAGAGTCTCAAAGGCAGCATTAACAACGTCAGATCCATGTGTTATCTTCTGGTCTCTAAATTGGGATTCCCACCTTCATCTGTACTTGTCCTCACAGGTATTTATAGAGTATTTGTAGTTCCATCCTTAAATAAGAAAGTAGCCCAACATACTTGGATAGAGGGACTGTTCGTTAAACTGGTTCAAAATATAAACGGGTTATATATATCATACTAAAAGATTGAATCCAAGCGATTAACTATTCTAACCCATATGTCAATCTGTAGTATTTTGATATGAGACTCTTAACGAAATGAAACATGTTGCAGAGGATGAGAGAGACCCCTATAGGACCCCAACCAAAGCAAATATCAGAGAATCCTTAAACTGGTTGGTACGAGGCTGCCAGCCAGGAGACTCATTGGTGTTCTACTACACCGGACATGCCTCACAAGTTCCTGACAGTGATGGCGATGAGATTGATGGGATCGACGAATCAATTTGCCCTCTCGACTATGATACAGAGGGGAAGATACTAGACGATGAATTGAATGCTAAACTTGTAAGGCCATTAACTCGTGGAGTCACACTTCACGCCATCATGGACACCTGTTTCAGTGGAACCTCCATGGATCTGCCCTTCTTGTGCAGAATGACCAGGTTATTTATGGTTTCATCCCATCTTTAAAAAGGCTCTCAATATTTTTTTGCTCTATGTGTGTGTGTGCAGGCGTGCAAATGGTTTGGATAGGTACCGTACTACCGCCTAATGATAAATCCATTTCTTGTGACTAAAAGCTAGATACACGTAACCTTCAGTGTAGACTAAATGAATTCTAGAATGACCATCGCTGTTTGATGTCAAACCTAACGGTTGAGATTCAGTCTTTATGCATGAGTAGCTTTTGTAGTACGAAGTCAAACCACACCCATATATACACATATGGTGAGGTCAGAATTACATGAAGGAATATGGTCAGAACTTTTGCAGTGAACAGTCAGACCCTAGGGCTAGATGATTGTTGACTGTATTCTGATCCAACAGCTCCTATCAAAAGTTCAGATGGACAGGCATGAAAAGTCTGGACCTGAGCAGTCCAATGTGTGTGTGTGTGTGTGTGTATAATAATCATTGTTGGGTAGATTGTGATGGAGTTGAAAAGTTGAAGCAGGGATGGGTATGTCAAGTGGGAAGATCACAGGACACCGTACAGCAACATATACAAAGGAACTAGTGGAGGAACAGCGATAAGTATCAGTGCCTGTGATGATGATCAGAACTCCGCAGACACTACAGTGAGTACTACTTCATCTGAACAGTTCAATAATTCTTGAATTTGTCTAATCTGCTTAAGCACGTGCATGGTTTTACAGGCTTTCACTGGAAGTGCAATAGGTGCCCTAACTTATGGTTTCATCAAAGCTTTAGATGAAGAGCTGAAATTGACATATGGTCGATTACTTGGGTCGCTGCGTAACCTAATCAATGAAGTGCAGACGGGAGCATTCCCAAATGATAGAGCTGCTGCACCACCACAGGTATTATTACTATTTTGGCCTTCCATGCATTGGTGGTGAGTGGTAACAAGGCTCTCAATGCTCAACACTGTTTCTGATCATTGGTATTGGGTCGACCCCTTAGACTAATAATGGCAATGAGGGTTTAATTAACCTTTTAAATATTTAAATGCAGGTGCCTCAATTGTCATCTTCAGAGAGGTTCGACGTTCACTCCAAGATAATGACTCTTTAGGACTTCTGATTGTAATATTCAACTACATATAAGCAGGAACATGGTGTGATCTTAACATCTTATAAAATTGTAATAACAGCTCCTTCCTTTATGTATTTATGTATGGCAATGAAGACTGAAGTGAAATAAGTTTGACAAGTTTCCACGTTTTGCCAAAGAAAGCAACATTTTCAATAATCTAAGAGTTCCATAGAAAAACTGAATCATCAGTTTCAGAGTTAATAACTGATATAATCCCTAGGCGATATATTATTGCACAATTTCACCTTAACTTTATTAAGAAATTGCCCTAAATTGGAGTACCAAATAAGATGATTACCCTAAATATAAGTACCACATTTTTTCCTAAATAGGAGTACCATAATCCTGAAATCATAGTCATATTTGACCTTAAGACTGTCTTATTAATGTTTAATAATGTCATAATATAGCAATATGATTTCAGGATGGATGTGCTCTGCATATTTAAAGTAAAAGTATAGTAATACTAATGAGGGAAGCACCTTGTTTCTATTCATACTTTCGGTCATGGTCTCAGTTTGGTCCTTACCTATGCAATTTCCACTTAATCTAATCCTGCTGCATATCCCACCCTAATTAAGAACGGCATTTTAAGAGACCGAGGACTGAATTAGACTAAATATAGTGAACTGGCTAAAATACCCTTGTTGTTTAGAACTAGATATGAATGGTGACTAAAATGAGTCCAAATTTCATATAGTGCATAACCAAATTGAGAAAAAAAATGATAAGCAATACAAAATGATTAAATGAGTGATAATTTTTATAGCTCATGAACATTAACTCAGCTTGAAAAGCAAGAACTACTTTTAAGAACACAATAATAGCATCAATTTGAACACAATATATTAGCAGTATGACAGTACCAGTTTCTTTTAGTTAAGGGAACACAAGAGGGAGGTGCGAGAAGCTGTGAGCCAATGGGTGTAAGAACGGTGGAGGTTTGGCCAGTCGGATGATGGGCAACGAGTGAAGTGGTGGAGCCAAAGGGACAACACTTTTTCCTGCTCTTCTTCCTCCAATGTATTTATCAACTCCTCCAGCGTTCTTTCTACCTCTGCTCTTTTGTCGATGCTCAGGACTGGGGTGTCTGTCCCGTTGCTTCCGTGACACAGCAATGGCAGCCAGGACACCAGCATATTCAAGTTTGTTCGTCTTAGTTCATGTTTCATGGTTTCTTCAACTGCCTTTTTCCACATCTCTCTTGCTCGTTCTAATAAGAATGCTGCAAAGTGAACAAGCACATGCATCTTACTAATTACTATCTATAATGACGCTTGAGAAACAGCATAACTAACTAAGAGTTGGAAATAAATTATTCATGCAAAACTTGAAAATAAAGAGAGTGCATGACTATCATATTTTAAACAGAACAGCAAATCAACTTGAGTGAAGTTGATTGCAACTTAATAAGTACGGGGTAATAGTTGCAACTCAATACAACTGGGAGTTTTTTTTTTAAATTTCATTCATTTTCAAATGCAAGACTGTAAGAGGTTGTTTTCTACATTAATTTGGCTTTTCCTGCAAAAGAGTTGAGTGAAGTTCACCCAGAAACAGCTTCTTAAATATTCCACTATTTGACCAATGCACTATTTACCTGAGACTCTGATTAACGCTCCTTGAAGTCGTGGCTCAGCAGACACAGAAAGCCAGGCCAGATGTTGAGCAGAAGACCACTTGCGAAGAGCCTCCTCCGCACAGCCGCAAACCGTCATTTTCTGAGCCAGCCATAGTAATTCCGCTGCCAGCTTCTCAGCCGATACTTCCGATCGGCTCAGCGAATCCTTCGAGCTCCGACGCCGCAACACTAAATTCCAATAGAACCGAGCGGCTCTTATGCAGCGGCGAAACCCTCCGTAGTGATCTTCCGTGACTCTGCCGTCTCCGTCTGGAGTCCCGGCTTCCTGATCCACCAGGCGAGTCCTTTCTATGACGGCGGACTCGAGCTGCTTGAGCGTCCGACGAAATGCAGACGTCAACACAGTGCGATTAACTTCCCTTAACACATCGTCCTTGTACGAATTATTTTCATCTATAAACTTCTCTGCCAACGATCTCGCGACTTCGTACTTTCTGGAACTCACCGGAATATCAGTCACAATGGACAAGAGTTGCGTGAGCGCTCTGGCAATAGCAGCATCGCGTCCGCCGCCATCTACGACGGCGTGACGAGAATTCCCTGCTTTTCTAAATTGGAATTCGCTGATAAAGCTTTTAATTGGGAAAACCGAGGGCAAAAGGCGAAGGAAGATGAGAACAGTTGAAACAACGAAGCCGCGAATGAGCCGAAGAGGCTTGTATTTGTCGGAGAAGAACGTGAAGGGCTTGTCGGCGTAGATTAACAACGAGGTCAAAAGGCTTCTGAAAACAGTAGAATCCATGGCGGCCGGTGAATTCTCAAAGATGGACGATTTTCTTGAACGATTTGAACTTGATTTGGTTTTATGATCGTGATAATTGTTATGGAAACTTTGACCACATACTATTACTAAACGGAGTACATGGTAAAGAGCAACAGCAATGGAAAGTCATGAACATCACAATTCCCGACCTTAGCGGATTCGCCGAAACGCGGGAAGGAAGAGAGACCGCCACAATGGCGGCGGCTTTCGTGACGTATTCATTCAGCACTTACTTGCACACGGAGGAAACATTTGTCATCATCCTTTACAACTCTCTCCTCTAGTCCTCTGTACGGAGTATCTTTTTTCACCATGATTTTCACTTTCATGATTTAGCTATTAACAAAAAATTCTTGTATACACACTCTTATGCACACTTTTGTACATATCAATGTTTGTGAAAGGTTTTTTTGTCTGTGAATATAGACTCACGGACAATGTTTTGCACAAACAAAATATTGTCCGTGAACCGGATTCACAGACAAAAAAAACTTCACAAACATGGTGTGTACAAGGGTGTGTACATCAAGCAGTTTTGAGCAATTAATTTCTGTAACGCTTCAACTGACCAAATCCGCCAAGAATACAGTTTTACTTTGCTGGTCCGGTATGGTATTGCTCTGTCTTTTTAAGTCTAGTCTGGTCTGTTTAAGTCTAATATGGTCTGAATTGGTTTGGTCTGGTCTAAACATCTTGTCTTTGTGTATTTTATAACTACGAAAGTCAAGTCCGGTCTGATCTGTTTAAGTCTGGTCAGGTCTAATCTAGTCTGTTTAAGTCTGGTCTGGTATTGAAAAAAAGTCCAAGTAAAAACATCTTTATTAATTATGCCTCGAATAGGCGAATCTATTAAATTATGAAACATTCTCTGTATGTAATTAAAATAAGGGAAATTTGTGATTACCCGTTTATCACTTTTTTTAAAGAGACTTAGAGCATCTTCAATGCTATAATGTGCACGGTGCACATGTGGCAGGAGAGAGATAGACACAAAAGATTAAATTAATGACATTTCTCTCTCCTTCTTTCCACGGCCTTATGTGTTTTTGGTAAGTTTTTCTCAACAATGTCAATCACAATGTCTACATCTAGACATTGTAGAGAAAAATTTACCAAAAACATATAAGATCGTTCAAATAAGGAGAGAGATATTATATTTGTTGTTTTTTAATTGGTTATTCCAATGCCACGTATGCACAATTCATGTTTTTGCATTGGATATGCTCTTGCCTCTTCTCTTTTAGTCATAATTAATAGTTCAATCTGTATTTTTAAAAGTCAATTATTTGCCTTCTAAGCTTTGATTATTATTTTATTATACTCCTTCCGTCAAATTTAAGTCATTTTTTATGTTAAATACAGGAGAATTACCAAAAATATCCTTCACTAGAAATTGTCATTTTGCGGTCATTTTCCTTCTATTGCTATTAGAGAGCGTTTGGGTCAAGGAATGTCAGATTACTGGGTATGTTAGATTGATGGGAATGTATTCAATTTATTCTCATTTGCGTTTGATTAAGATTAAGGGAATGTGACATTAATTTATTTGGTTAAAAGATATCTTATATTGCAGATATGGTGGATTACTTCAATGCCTTTTTTTATCGTCAACTAGCCTTCTTTCATATCACAAGTTTCGGGATCATTACATCAATCAAATGAAACACAAAACTGACACCAACTAAAATCCAACAACTACGAATGTAAACCCTATGATCAGACTTAGAGAAAGTCACCCCTGAAAGAGCAACGTGAATCGCTAACCATGTAGCGGGCTTGACACAACAATCCATGTTTCCATAGATCCAAACATACTCAATGACATAAAAAAGGCTGAATTCCCAAACAAACTGACAAATCTAACAACATAGACGATAACAATAAGCCAAATGACATAATCTATACATGCATAATAACAATACAAATAGTTACAGTTCAATGAACATTACTTTCACTGTTCCATGAATAGTAATCCCGCTTACATGCACATTACATCCTGAACGTTCTAGGATACTAATCACGTCTGTTTCTTTCCTCTTTCACTTATTTCACACTCTTCACCCATTTCCTCCGTCCATCTATGTTCCCATTTATATCTAATGAAATCAATGTTTGTTTGTATAGTTCATGTTCAATTTGGAGTTACTCATCTCAGTTTTTCCTACCCAATAGTTATTTTCTTCTTCTTCACCCTAAAAAGTTTGAATGTCATTCCTACTTCATTTACATCTAATTAAGAGGCTTTCTCTATATATTAACTACATATGTATAGGTGCTCTCTAATTTTGCATATAACATGTTTGATAAAATGCATAGCTCAACTTTCTTAATTTTTTTCAGTACCATAAATAAAAAATATAAAATTTTTGTTTGTCCCTGATCAGGATGAAACCGAGGAACTAAAGGCAAATAATTATATTTGCAATAAGGTGTTTGACTAATTTAGATTTGTTTATTTGGATGCTCATATCAAATGTATTTTCATTTGGAATGAGATATTAAAGTGACAGCAAGTAGAGACATCCGAAAAAACCCAGCAAAATGGGTTATTTTCCTGTTCTTTTTCACCCTAAAAGTATGAATGTCATTCAAAATTCATTTAGATCTAATTAACAGGCATTATCTGTGTATCAACTACACACATATTAACTTTATCTTATTTATTGATAAATTTTTAAATATCAGTAATACTCTTTGATTAAGTATTGTGAAAGCACGGATGCACTATATTTGGAATAAGGTGTTTGCCTAATTTAGATTTGTTTATTTGAAAATTTAAGTACAGATGAAACCAGTAATACTCTTTGATTAAGTATTAAGAAAGCATAGATACTTAATCAAAACACAGATACTTAATGGGTTATTAAAATGAAAATACATTTCTCTACTTGAAAATACATTTATCAAATGTATTTTCATTTTCCAAATGAAAATACATTTGATATGAGCATCCAAAAGTGGGTGCTTTCATTTGGAATGAGATATTAAAGTGACAGCAAGTAGAGACACTCGAATAAACCAGCAAAATGGATTATTTTCTTGTTCTTTTTTACCCTAAAAGTATGAATGTCATTCAAAATTCATCTAGATCTAATTAAGAGGCTTTATCTATGTATCAACTACACACATATTAATTTTATCTTAATTATTGATAAATTTTTAAAACCAGTAATACTCTTTGATTAAGTTGTGAAAGCACGGATGCACTATTGCTCTCCTTTTTTCATAGTATTAAGGAAACACCATCTTACTATTTTTTATAGGTTTTTTGGAACTCGAATTTAGTTAATTAATAATTACAAATACAAGCTTACAAATTCACATTTCCAAATTGACACATTGTCATATACTCCGTACAATTTTATAGTATCGAATCGTGTGAGTTTTTGAAATCTGTTGATGTTCTTTTGCTTATGTTTGGCTTATTATTATGAACCTCAAATGCTAAATTTGTATTGAGGTAAATGCCAACTCTTTTGTATGAATATGGTCTTTTAGAATATTAATTTGACCACTTATGATCCTTATGTTGCAAATATGATATGCCATTAGTTCATATCGATGCACTTAGCCATTATGACCCTTATGCAGCAAATATTGTATGTTATGTGACATGTGTCCATGTATGATTTTGTAGAGAAGAAATTTATGATTTCAAAAAACCAATGGAATATAAAAAGTGATGTCAAAATCTATGATTCTCGAATTCAATCTTTTAGTGTGGTTTGTCCCCTTTATTCATATCCTCACTAGATCGATTAATTCTTCTTCTGAAATTAGAACAACCTCAACAAATGTTGAGAAATATCTCAGGTATTCGATCGCCAAAAGGTATTTTCGCATTCTGAGTTTGATCGCCAAAAGGATTTTTGGTATTTAAACATGGAACTTATTTGTTTACATAAGGAACTTAATGGATATCCTTTATTCTCTATTAAATTTTCTTCTACCATATTCATATGAGTATATTTTGGTTTGGTTTTAAGAAAATGTCTTCCTTTTTTTCAAGATTTTTGGCATTCTGGGCTCAATAGCATTATGGCCGGAAGGAGTTTTCTTCACGATTGAATTCAAATGGTGTTGCTTAAAGGTTTGAAAGGGAAGATAATTTTTTGCGTTCCACTGTTTTTGCATTCTGCACATTAATTAACCCCATTAGCTACTTTTATACCAAAATTCGAATCCAATTATTCATTAGAACTTATTAATTGAGTAGACACACACGATCGCGATTTATGTTGATGACTGTTTGAAGAATACAAGTTTTGGGGAGTTCTTAGTCAACAAGGAATCATAATCATACTCTCTCATACCCATAATATAAGTTAGGGAAGACCATAACACAATCTGCATACATACAAGTATCTAGAAATATATTCAGAGACAGTATGGGCAATGTTCTAACTTCTGAGTAAGGCCGTTGATAGCTTTGAAAATGCTTTAGCGCCTCCCTTCATGGCTATGCTCGAAGGATTTTCAGAGTCTGTCCTTTTACATTCGTGAGAAATAATAAAACTATGTATTTTTTGCGATAAGTTCTGCTTTGAATCCGTTGACTACTACTACTACCGCTATTATTAATAATCCCCCCCCCCCCCCCTCTTGAATATTGTAGAGACGTGTGTAGTTGAGTTTGGGGTGTGCTGTGTTTCATCACCCACTTTTCTGCCTCACATCACTAGACATTTACATAAAGTAGATTACATAAAATTGTAGCTTACCACATAAGAAATGATTCCCAAACCAGAACCTAATAGTAAAATTCCCATACACGGAAAAGATGAATCCTATGAAATAAGGGCAAATTTTTGTTTAAGTTCAAGGTGTAACCTCCAAACAAACTTGGACAGTGGCCACGAGAACTCCTCTAATGTCCTTTGGGGAGAAATCAGCTATATAGACTTACCTTTCGATCATCTCTGATTGTGTGGAAGAACTTAGAATTGGTTGTATCCAATACTTGATATTCCAACAAAGCTTCTTTCTTACTTCTCCTTTGAGAGGTCCTTAGGTTGATTTTCTAATATATACCATTTTCTTCTTCTTCTTTTGTTCAGATGATATGGCACCAAGCTATCAATAGAGAGCAAGGAATGCTATTTTTAATCTATTCTTGGATCGGTGGAGATGCACAATTTTAAAGTAGGCATGGATTTACTTGAATATTAATTGTACATGTACATAGTTGAAATTACATTTCAGATAAAACTATTGTAGTGATACAGACGGACAAGTTTCTTTTATACGAATAAATAAAATAAATGTCATTAAAATGTTTCTTTTACTATTACTTCTAATTTTTCTAATCCAGACTTTCTTTCATTTATCACAAATAATGTTGTAATCGTGATTAATATATAAT